CTCCAGGCTCCAAGCTGTCAGCACAGAGCCCGACGCGGGGCTCGAACTCACGGACCGCGAGATCGTGACCTGGCTGAAGTCGGACGCTTAACCGACTGCGCCACCCAGGCGCCCCTAAAAATTTTTTTAAATACAACTTGTCTGAGAGACTTAACATCTTCATAAATTCCATTTTTCCTTAGTGTTTGCTGTGGTTTCTAATTACCAAATCCATGTTAGTATAGCCCTGTATACTGAACAAATTAATTTGACCTGGCAAAACTTGTACACTAGAAATTTGTGCTATTTAGAGGAATGTGGTAAGTGTATCATATAATGCTTATTTTATTTAGTGTTCTCTGCTTTTCAGAGCTGATGCATTCTTTATGTCCCTTAGGAGAATATATTTATGAACTACTTTTAAAAACTGTGTATTTAAGGAATGCAGCAAGTTTGGTTTTATAAAGTGCTTGGGGGAGGGCTGAGGACATTGCAGGTAGGCAGACAGAACAAGCACTTCATTTCCATCTTGCCATCTAGATTGCCTGGTTAGTGTTGGTTAGAACTTATTAGCTCTATACTTCTCCAACTCCTTTATAAAAAACAAAATTGTTTCTTAAGAAGTAATTTTTTTTTAATAAGTTGGGATTTTTAGGAGGCTAGAGTGCATCCTACGTGTGATGGCAAGTATCAGAGTTCTGGTGTGCTACTTAGATAATTCCTTAGGTTACAATAAGAATAAAACCAAATTAACAATTTAGTGGTTTTAGAGGAGAACAATCCTGGGACCATGATTTAGTGCAATGAGAAGACCATACTAACGGCCATACCCAAATAAAGATTTTACAATATGAGTACTCTTCAGAAAAAAAGATCAACTCAGAGTGGCAGTATAGACAACTCCTGATTATTCAGGGCTTGATTTGTGGATTACTCATTCTTCTTGTTTCTCTTATTACCTCATTATTTTGCTGTTCATAGTAGCTTCATTAGAGTGAGCTAGGAAATGTAGTGTTTTGAATTTCTATTAATTGCATATTACTAGCCATTTATGATTTTTAGAGACTTAAAATTAATGGAAAAAAATGGGGCACCTGGCTGGCTCGGTTGGCAGAACATGCGACTGTTGATCTCAGGGTTTCAGCCCCACTTTGGGTGTAGAGGTTACTTTAAAAAAAATCTTAAAATTAATGGAAAAATTGAATTATCAGTTTCTTGTATAATGTCGTATTTATTGGGAGAGATCATTAGAAGTTAATCAGTATGCAATATTTTAGCATTATTATTTTTGGGGAGCATAGAGAGTGCATGTGTGCGTGCAAGCGGGGGAAGGGCAGAGAGAGGAGAGAGAAAATCCCAAGCGGGCTCCATGCTCAACACAGAGCTCAATGCGGGACTGAATCTCACAACCCTGGGATGGTGACCTGAGCCAAAATAACAGGTGGACACTTAACAGACTGAGTCATCCAGGTGCCCCATAATGTTTATTATTAATTAGATATATTTAGTCTTATCTGCTTTTTCTTTAGGTGGCCATCAAGTACTAGATTCACATGGAAATAAAAGAAAAACATAAGAAAATTATAAAAGAAAGTTACACACAAGATTAAGAGCTTCAGACCCAGCCTATTTTTTCTTTTTTGTTATAGACAGACTTATCATTTACTTTTAGATCATTTTCTCATTTAGGATCTGCATCTTTGACCTTCAAAATTAGAAATAATATCCTTCCTATGGCCAAACTAAACTTATTTTGGTCACAAATGGCATCATCTGTTGTCTACATGACATTATTGGTATTTACATTGATTGTAAGTTCCTTGAGGGAATAGATCAGAGCTAACATTTTTTCCCCTTCTCTTTTCAACACAGTGTGGTATTATCATGACATTATTTATTAATAAGCAAGACTTTGGGCTGCTTCTTTTATTATAGAAGAACCTGCCTTTTTTTTTTTTTAAGGTAGGCTCTATGCCTAACATGGGGCTTGAACTCATGACCCTGAGATCAAGAGTTGCATGCTCTACAGACTAGGCCAGTCCGGCACCGCTGGCTAGCTCCTTTTAACTGTACGGTACATCATCAGCAAAAAGCTGCAGAATTTTTAGGCATCTTGTATTATGGTTTTAAACTTGTCATAAAGATTTTAGGACCAGTAAAAGAGTCATATCCTGTTCTTAGTTAGGGCATACATCTCTTTAAGCCAGGCTAGAGAATCATAACAAATTTTAGTTATTTAAACCAGAACATTTATTTGTAACTAATTATTGAAATCCTTAAGATGAAACAGATGCTGCAGCATCTGCCCTCTTGGGTTTAAGTGTTGTTCTTTCACGGAATCCATGCTGGAATCTGCAGTATACAATTTTTAGGTGCCTCATTTGATCAGTCCCAGTGGTGTTTCATCTTTTAGCCTTGGCACTCCAGTTATACTTTCTCTTCCTCTTGGCAGGATTATTTGCTACAGGTTGGCTTTTTTTTTTAAATTTAAATTTCTTAAAAATATGTATTTATTTTTGGGAGACAGAGAGACAGAGTGCAGGCAGGGGAGGAGCAGAGAGAGAGGGAGGCATAGAGCCTGACGTTAGGCTCAAACCCATGAAGCATGGGATCATGACCTGGGCCAAAGTCGGACGCTTAACCTACTGAGCCACCCAGGCGCCCCACCACAGGTTGACTTCTGAAGGTGGTAGGCCGTGGAGCCACGGTGGCGGCACAATGTGTGCGTCTTATTGCCACACTTTCCAAATGATTACATCCCCTTTATCATCTCGTTTCTGTGGCCGAGACCAAAGAGAGAGAATCATAACAAAATTTAAAAATAATTGTCTGTAATACAGTGTTTTTTCTTTGTAACTGTTGTTGCTACGGTGGGGCTACATCTGTTTATAACAAATCCACATCTAGAAAAAGCAGTCAAATGCAAGGGGAAAAAAATCCTTATTTACTAAAGGACAGTAGCAGGCACTGGGAAATTTAGTTTTTGTTTTGTTTTGTTTTGTTTTTGTTTGTTTTAAGATTTTAAGTAATCTCTATACCAGAACTTACAACCTGGAGATCAAGAGTTGCATGCTCTACCAACTGAGCCAGCCAGGTGCCCTGGAGATCTAGTTTTTGAGTATGGATATCTTTCCCAATATTTTTAATTTGTTTGTAATAAATATGGCATCCCTTCCCTTAAAGGAATTGTTTGTCTTAGAAGAAAGAAGCAAACCACCATTTTACCCACGTAAATATATGAATATATTTCTGACATTGGGGTGTTCCAGAAGATGATAAAGAAATGATAGCAGCTCCAGAAATACCAACTGATTTTAATCTACTACAGTAAGTATATTATGAAAATTTTTAAATACTTGCTTTTTCCACGAAATGGGAAATATAGTATATTAATTTCAGTTAAAGTTAGTTCAGAAGATCTAACATATAAGATAGAAGATAAGCATGTAACTTTGAAACAGTTTATATCAGTGCTGGTTTGTCTCTGTAACAGCAATTCAATGGTTTTCTGTACTATGTGTTAAATTTATTTTTTAATTTATTATTTTGCCGTGCGATTCTTTGAATCTGTACTTGGTTTTACAGTAGCACACTGAGGGAGTGCTGTGAAATTCTTAAAAAGTACAGTGTTCTCATTAGTAAGGAATATGTACCATGTAGTAGCATTTAGGATGTAATATCAGATTTTTGTTACAAAATCCAATGATAATAGGATAAAACAAATCTGGGAGGGTAGGATATACTCTTCATATTTTTTTCCAGAAACAAATTACATGCTTAGTGGTCCATAAAGTAACTTCATTGTAGGTATTTTCTTTTACCCTTGTTCTAAAAGCTACCTATACTCCTTATTCAACTTTTATTCTAACTACTTTTTAGTATTTGATGTAGGAAGGAATTTTGAGCTACTGTATGTAATAGTAGTTTTCACACTAAGCTGCAGTTTCCTGAGGTACCTCAGTGAAAAGTGAAACTTTAAACTGCCTTTGGATCCCTTTAACTTTACACACGTATACACCATAGTATATTTGCTGTTGGAATTTTTATAAGACTTGATTTGAAAATAGTTTGGTTGCTAAAAATTGTGAAAACATTAAATAGATACCTTTGTACAAAATGGTTGCCAGTGTCTACTTTTGATGCTGTATAGATTTTCATGTTTATTTATAAAAATTACAAATTTTTAATTTTAATTTTATTTTAGAGAGAGAAAGGGGGATCGCAAGCAGGGGAGAGGGGCAGAGGGAGGGAGAGAGAATCTTAAGCAGGCTCCATGCTCTGCGTGGAGCCAGACTCAGGGCTTCATCTCACAACCGTGGGATCATGACCTGAGCTGAAATCAAGAGTTGGATGCTCAACCGACTGAGCCACCCAGGCACTCCTAGGTTTTCATTTTTGAAATAACTTTATTATTTTCAGTGGAGACTATGGGGGGTCTACTGGGATGTTGCCAATATTTCAAAGTACGTTTTTTAATGTGACTTCAATCCCAGTGTTTATTAATTCTATTTTAAGATTCTTGAGGGACATTTCTTATTTTTGTTTGAGGGAGGATATGGGATAGTCTTAGGAAAAAATAATTTTTGGTTTGACTATTGTAAAATTAGGAAATTTCTTAAACTGTTAATTAATATTGGAGCCAATTAAGACTGTTTATATTATAGGGGCATCTGAGTAACTCAGTCGGTTGAGCATCCGACTTCGGCTCAGGTCATGATCTCGCAGTCTTTGAGTTCAAGCCCCGGGTCGGGCTCTGTGCTGACAGCTCAGAGCCTGGAGCCTGCTTCGGATTCTGTGCCTCCCTCTCTCTGCCCCTCTCCCACTCACACTCTCTCTCAAAAATGAATAAACGTAAAAAAAATTAAAAAAAAAAAAGACTGTTCATATTATAAACTAGACTACTATTAGAATATCTCAAGTAATTAAGGACTGAAATAGGATAATGGATAAGTGGGAATTGTTGTGGAGGTAGAATAGCACTATTTGGTGGGGGATGAGATGGGAGCCAGGGTAAAGAGAAAGGAGTGGGTGGTTCAGTCATATGATAGATGACTCAGGAAATTTCAAGCCACTAAAAGGTTAACCTCGTATGCTCCATAAACATACTAGCATAGGCTATTTTACCTAGGATAGGTGGTGGTGTTCTTTTGATCTTAAAAGCAGAGGAAAACACTGGAGGAAGACAGACTTTCAAGAATATTTCTTCTCTGGTTGGGGATATTTTAGACTCTTATCCTGATTACTCCAGATTTCTTCATAAGGTTTTCCAGTTTGTAATCAAACCTCTAGTGGCTCATTCTTTAAGTTGGGATAGCCTGGAGATGAGGATTAGGAGTGTAATTGAGCCTGTGATTACTCTGTGGCCATTGGAATATTGTGAAGACTAGTTATTGTTTGCAGACTTACTGCAGTTCCTGAGCTCTCTAAGAGAGATGGTGTCCCACAGATGTCTTGGGAAGGAAGAAGTATTATTTATATTCAGCAGATCCTTAAAAACATTTTTTTTTGCAAGACCATATAGGTATGTGGGGAGAATATTGATGACAACAATCTTCCTAAGATGTAACAGGCATGAGTTTTTCAGGGTTAATATTATAGTAGTCGTTTAGGTTTTGGTGCATTAACTCTGGGAAATGGTATTTATTATAAGCTCTTTCCTCACAGCATTATAGGAGATAGTTAAGATTGCCACTATCTTCAGTACATTGTTTAAATTACCTTGTTTTCTGAGTGCTATAAATAGTAATTTTTTTCCGTGCTAGCACCTTAACCATTATTATACGTATGTAAAGTATTCCTACCTCATAGCCTCCGGACAACTGGTTATTGTGGCAATAAAAATGGAAATAAAAGAAATCTAGTTAGAGAAGACTAGCTTTAGAAAGATAGCTTTAAATTTTGATTGCATTTATTTTAAGCAAAACTGGTACGAAGTTTACATATTTGGAGTGGCAGACTTTTATCTTTTATGGGTGTGGCTCAATCCTAAAATCCATTATGACCCAAATTCCAAGTATGCCTTGGCTTAAGCATTTAAATGAGATTATGTTAGTACTATTTAGATACAGAGACCCATATTTACATATATATGAAGCATTACACATATGTATTTAAATTAGTCTTCTTCCTCATGTGTATGAAAATCCAGATAATACAAAACACCCCACCTTCTCCAAAATAAAGGACAACTTTACTTCTTGTACGAGAATGAAGAGACTTGAGAGATTTCATTCTTTCTTGCATATACATTGTTTGTAGATGAGAAGATTGAGAGATTGTCACTTGTTTAAGATCACACAGTTTCTTAGTACTAGAATCAGTTCTGACTATATAGCTTACCACCTCTTTATTTCAAAAAGGATTTTGATCAATTAGCACACCTGTATTTCAAATGGTTTAGTTTGTAAAAATGTTTTATATATACCTTTCAGAAATACATGTTTTGTATAGTTATATTTAGATACACAAACATTTTTTGGGTGAGAGAGGAGTGGTCAGAGGATCCTTAATATTGCTAAAATTCCCTAATATTAAGTTCATCTAGTTCTTAGTGTTAAAATACAGTTTTCTGAGCACAATGGTGTTTCAATCAGAAAATGAAACCAGCCATTACAATAGAACACAATTCCTAGGGTTAAAATTTTGAGAACCATTGGTTTTGTTTTTGTATTTTGGTTAAAATTAACAAAATAAAAAATGTTTAGATATTTGTGTTTTAGATTATTGTTTTTGTAGTTATGTAATTTTATGTTTGGGAATGTGCTGTGGTATGATGCTTTGGGGAAGCATCTTCATTATATTTAATGAATAAGAATTAATTGAAAATAATTAATTGAAAAGAATAAATCAAACCTTTCTGTTAGAAAATATGGCAAAAATTATTAACTCCACCAATGTTTTTTAAAAAAGTTTTATTTGTTTTTGAGAGACAGTGCGCAAGTGAGGGAGGGGCAGAGAGAGAGTGGGACACAGGATCTGAAGTGGGCTCTGCACTGAGAACATTGAGCCTGAGGTGGGCCTCCAACTCACAAGCTGTGAGATCATGTCTTGAGCTGAAGTCAGATGCTCAACTGACCGAGCCACCTAGGTGCCCTAAATTCCACCTGTATTTCTAAGGAAATGTTTTTGTTGTTTTTTTTAAAGTTTATTTATTTATTTTGAGAGAGAACATGCATGCTGGAGGGGCAGAGATGGAGGGAAGGAGAGAATCCCAAACAGGCTCCCTGCTGTCAGCACAGAGCCTGATGTGGGACTCGATCCAGTGAACCATGAGATCATGACCTGAGCCGAGATCAAGAGATCAGATACTTAACTGACTGAGCCACCTAGATGCCCCTATAAGGAAAGTTTTAAATAATTGCTTATGTTTCTGTCACAGGGAGTCAGAAACACATTTTTCTTCTGACACAGATTTTGAAGACATTGAAGGAAAAAACCAAAAGCAAGGCAAAGGAAAGGTATGTACAGACTATAACTTTATTTTGGTTCTTAAGGTCATTTGTGTGTACACACACACACACACACACACAAATATAGTTTTAGTTGTATCAGATATTCTATTTTTTTTTTTTAATTTATTTATTTTGAAAGAGAGAAAGGCAGGGAGAGAGAATCTCGAGGATCTGCACTGTCAATGTGGAGTATGATGCAGGGCTTGAACTCATGAGCCATGAGATCATGACCTGAGTCCAAATCAGGAGTCAGACTGACTGACTCTTGCAGCCCCAGTCAGATAGATATTCTCTTTTAAAAATGCTTTTTTCCTGGATTGGTGTGGTAAACCTTCTGAACACATATGGTTTCTTTGGCTTCTAGGCCAAATATCTTTTTTTTTTTTTTTTTTTTTTTGAGAGAGAAAATAAAAAGGGCAGCACAAGCAGGGAAGGGGCAGAGAAGGAGGGAGAGAGGGAGAGAGAGAATGAGAATCCCAAACAGGCTCTGTGCCATCAATGCAGAGCCCGATGCAGGACCTGATCCATGAACCATGGATCAAGAGTTGGGTGCTTAAAATCAAGAGTTGAATGCTTAACTGACTTAGTCACCGAGGTGCCCCTGGGTCAAATATCTTTTGATTATCTATTTCCACTACTGTAAAGTTGAAATTAATAACACATCATTGTTTCTTTTTTTAAAAAAAATTTATTATGTTTTTAATTTTAATTCTAGTATAGTTAACATACAGTATTACATTAGTGTTAGGTGTCAGTATAGTGATTCAATAATTTTATACATTACTCAGTGCTCGTCATGGTAAATGTACTCTTTAATCCCCATTGCCTATTTCACCCATCCCTCCACATACCTCCCCTGTGGTAACCATCAGTTTGTTCTCTATAGTTATGAAGAGTTAGTTTCTTGGTTTGTCTCTCTCTTTTTCATTTGTTCATTTGTTTCTTAAATTCCATATAGGAGTCAAATCATATGTTATTTGTCTTTCTCTGACAGACTTATTTCACTTAGCATTATACTCTCTAGCTCCATCTATGTTTTTGCAAATGCAAGATTTCATTCTTTTTTATGGCTGAGTAATATTCCATTGTATGTACACGCTACATTGTCTTTATCCATTCGTCTATTGATGGACATCTGTTGATGTGCTGCTTCCATAATTTGGCTACTGCAAATAATACTGCAGTAAACATAGAGGTGCATATATCGTTTTGAATTAGTATTTTTGTGTTCTTTGGGTAAGTACCCAAATCGTTAGTGTGATTACTGGATCATAGGGTAGATCTAGCTTTAGTTTTTTGAGAAACTTACATACTGTTTTCCACAGTGGCTGCACCAGTTTGCCTTCCCACCAACAGTACACGAGGGCTCCTTTTTCTGTACATCCTTGCCAACACTTGTTTCCATTTCTAATAGATTCTTTTGTAAAGCACAGTATGCCAAACACAATGTAATATTTTGTTGGCTTTACACATGAGTAGTCAAATATAAAGCAAAGCAGTAATAAGATGTTCTATTCTAAAGATGTAACCTATAACCAGTTCAAGTCTAATAGGTTACAGTTGACAAGAGTTTCACTCTTTATAAATAATGCCAAGGATAAAAACTAACAAAGTAAGGTTCTGAGTCAATAGAATGCAAGTTTAGAATATGAGTAGTTAGCCTGAGGGCTCTGGACAACTTGGTGAATGGGTGAATTATTTTGATGATTTGGAAAGTACACTTGACCCTGTGCATGTGTGTGAATACATTGTACAAAAGCTGATTCATTTTTGTTAACCATTTTCTTTCCCAAAATGAATTTTGGATTTATATTTTCTTATGACATATTTACTTAAAGTCTAAATAACAGAAATGTAAAATGAACAAAGTAACATTTCCCTATAAACCTATCATACAGAAGTAATGTATTATTTAAACATTTTGATGAACATACTTTTTTTATACATATACCTGTCTATAAACATGCACGTAGAATTTTACTTAAATGGGTTTATACTATGCAGACTGCTTAATTTGCTTTTAAAACTCAATAGTATGTTGTCAGCAGCTTTCCTATCAGTGAATTTTTGCTGTAATTTCTAATGTTGTCAAGGCATCACATTTTATGTATGGAATATAATTTATTTAACTAGTCCTTGGAATATATTTTTAGAGTTCACATAATCCATGTTTCATAATTTCATATGCTTTTTTAGTCTGTTAAAAAGTGGAAGTTTTGAGACAGAAAAAGTGTGAATGAATAAAATGTTAACTCAGAACTATCCAAAGACAACTATAATTCTAGTGGGTAGTTTATGGTTTATTCATTATAAATCCATGTTTTCTTGTTCCACAAATATCTTGCAAAACTAAAAATCTGCTTTTGACTTTGATTTCATTTACAAGGTGGGATAAGACTAACAGTGGCATCTGAATAGAGGACTCCCCAAAGTTACTGTGCCACAGGTTAACTTTATGTAAGCCACTGCTATGAGTGAGGTGTTAGGGGTCAGGTCAAGGATTTATTATAATAGTAACTTATGTTTTTTTTTTAAAGTTTATTTATTTTGAGAGAGAGAATACATGCGAGGGAGGGAGGGGCAGAGAGGTGGGGAGAGAATCCCTCAGATTCTGTCAGCACAGAGTCTGATGTGGGGCTCGATCTCGAACTGTGACATGATGACCTGAGCTGAAATCAAGAGTCAGATGCTTAACTGACTGAGCCACCCAGTCGCCCTGGTAACTACGTTTTGACACTATACTATGTATATCCCAAGCACTATGCTAATAATAATGTTTGTTTAACTAATTCAATATTTGAACCACCCTGTGGATTAGAAATCTTCCTTATTTTTATAGATAGGAAACTGTGGTCCAGAGAAGTCCAGTGCTTAAAGGATTTGAGCCCACATGTTGAAAGATGGTGCTCTTAATCCACTGTAATATGCTAGCTCATAGTCTTTCTTTAGAGATGTTTTTCATCTAGAAGATTGTACCCAGGTTAGCATGTTTATTTCTTGTACTTCCTGTGTTATCATTCCTTGCATGTTGTTTTCTAGCATAGCATATTCTTTGAACCGTTTTAATTGTACTAATTAGTTTTCCATACCAACAGGGAGTATTGAAGCATGTGATAGATAGATTGCAAATATATAGTTCTGTTTAATTAACATTAACATTTTATACTTTTCTAGTGTACTCCCGGTAGTTGATTTTTTCTTTCACCCTTATCTGAAATCCTTCTACTGGGGACAATAACCTTTCATTCTACAATTAGTAATTAATGACTTAGTTTCACAAAGGCTGCGTCTCATTAAGAAAATAATGTAAGTTAACAAGTAATATATTTCAGTTGTTAGGAAGGAGTTTGAAGTAGTTATTATGAGTAGGGTGGTTTTGGACTCTTGAGGAAGGACCCTCTATGGAACAAAGTATAGACCCATACGGGCTGTCAGCAGAAATACATTTGTAGACCTGGTGGTAGATTGGGGGTTTGTAAACTATGACCTGTTTTTATACTGCCCATGAGCTAAGAATGGCTTTTATATTTTTAAAGGGTTATAAAAATAAACAAAGAACATGTGACAGAGATGGAATGTGGCTTGCAAAGCTTGAAATATTTACTGTCTGGTATTGTACAGAAAGTTTGCCGATCCTTGCTCTAGATCATAGAAACGTGTAGGTTGAAAAGAGACCTAGAAATCATCTATTCTAATCTGTAAAGATTTAATACAACTCTGACATTTTAGAAATGAGGACTCTGAGTTAGGGAATGACTTGCTTTTCTATAACAAGGTATAAAGGCCGTGGGAGGTATTTTATAACTGAGGCATGTAGGCAACCTTTTCACTGATTTATGAAGCCCCCAACCCCCCAATATTGACAGCTTCCTTATAAAGGACCTTTGTTTCCCTAGTGTTCATTAACTGAATTTTCATGATAAATAAGTGTTGAGCTATCACCAGTTGTACAGAGGAACATGATTTTTTAAATTTGAATTTGCCTTCACTTATCCAGAATGAGAATGAGGTTGATACACCTGTTCATCCTTTTTAGAATTCCTTTGTCAGTCCGCCACAATAATTTGTAAGACTAACAATAGAATTTAAAAGTTTGAACTAAATATGAGCTACTTACTTGATGAGGTGTTTTGTTATTCTTGCTGCCCACTCTAGTCTGCACCCTAAAGTATGCAACCCTATGAGTAGGCACAGTTTTATCCTCACTTTACCAATGAGAAAGTCTGCAGCGCAGTGTGGTTAAGTAACTTGCCCAATATCACTCAGCTGATAGGAGTAAGAATTTGGACCCATGCAGTCTGTCAGTCTGCAGAGACTGTGCTCCTAACTGCAACCTCATGTGAGGTGTCCGATAGGATAAGTAAACAAAATGATACCACAAAGAGGCTGTCTCAACATATGTGTATGGCACTCCTCTTTAGGTCAGGTTTAGGCATGTTATAATTATGTACCCTTTTAACTGTTTCTGCCGTAGCGTTGTTTTGAATTTTCAAGGATAATGATATAACTTACCCAACTTGTATTTTTATGCAGACTTGTAAAAAAGGCAAAAAGGGCCCAGGAGAAAAGGGCAAAAGTGGAAATGGAGGAGGAAAACCTCCTTCTGGTCCAAACCGAATGAATGGTCATCACCAACAGAATGGAGTGGAAAACATGATGTTGTTTGAAGTTGTTAAAATGGGCAAGAGTGCTATGCAGGTAATGTTTATCGTATTCTTCCCAGTTCATTTGTACATTTTAAACTTTAGTGAGTTATATGAAATGCTGGAGATTTTGAATTGCATTTAAAAAATTTCTAACACTGCTTATTAGAAAAAAGCAATAAAGTCATCAAAACTAGGGATCTGTCCATTCAGACATAAGACCTTTAAGCTGTGTCTTGTCATTTTCTACTGCATTATTTTGTTTTCATGGTATATAATAAAAAATTCTTTGCTCAAAAAATATGCTGATGTAAACTATGAGGTTTTAATTTCCCCTGAATTTATGTGTCTACCATTAAAATATGAAGTCCTTTGCCCATATAGAATTCTTGGTTGAGTGACCTAATATAATCACCATCCACTTTAGTGAATTGATTTATGTTGATCACTGTTATCTATTACACATTTTATTACTTGTGCTGTTTCTTAGCAGAAGAGTAAAAAGTGAGAGTCATATCCATGTCAAGTCATCCTAATTTTGTTTCTTCTGCATGATTTTGTGACGAGAAGAATTTAAGCTTTACATTGGAGACTAAACCTGTACTGTTTTAAAAAATTGAATAAACACTATACTCAAAGAAAATACATGCTTAATAAGGTTATTATTTACTTCATAAAAGCTACAGGGAATCATTTTCAGAGAATTAATTTTAATCAAAAAAAAGTACACATGGATTGATTTTGGAGAACTAGCCATTTAAGCTTTGTGTTATTAAAAAGTAAATATAATTCTTGTTTATAAATATGGACTTAATATGTATGGTTTTATAAGTAAATTTTAAGTATCAATTAGGACTAATAAACAGCATTTTTACATGTATAATAAAAATTGTGTGAGCTGTTACCAGTTGTACAGAGGAACATGATTTTTTAAATTTGAATTTGCCTTCACTTATTCATCTATGGTTTGCTTTTTATATAGTTGTGATGAGGGTATGGATTTTATTTCTTTAATGTTTTAAATGACTATTTCATATATACATTTGATATTTTAAAAAATAACATCTTAATTATATTACGGTGCTTGGTTTACTTAGTCGTTCCCTAATTTAAAAAGTTATCCCCCTCTCTGTTGTTCCCATGGTTTAATTTTATCAAAGAAATAAATTGTCTCAGTTACATCATATATAGTATTTCATTACTTTCTTTTTTATTTTTATATTATACTTTTTTTCTATAATATTTTATTTTAAGCTGTTAAATGCATTAATCTTTTTTCTGGTATCTTTCATTTTTGTTAACATCAGAAGTCTCAACTTATATCCACAGCTAATTAGACTGTTCTAATTTTGTCTGGTCTATAGGGTTTTTGTTTAACTTTTTGGCTCATCAAAAATTTTTAATAGAAAATGTGAGGATTTCACTTTATATTTAATTTTTTTGTTAATGGTATCTCAGTGTTTAAAGAATGAACATTTTCTTTATTTTTGTGATTATGGTTTGTCACATATGAAGATTGTACCTCTATGCTATTTGTTTTTCTATTTCTAAAAGTGTTTTCACCCTTAAAAGTGGAATGTCCACAGTATCTCTCCATTGATTTCCCTGAATTGTCTTCTACCTCTAGTTTGTTTTGTGTACTCTTACTTGTGTTATCTTGGTAATACAAAATTTGATCAAGGAAGTCTCCTGTTTACAAGCTTCCAACGGTTCTTCCTTATCTAAAAGTTCCAGCCCAGATTTTTTTTTATGGTGTGCTTGCTCTTCCCCAGCCACAGTATGTACTCTGCTTCCACCCTACCCAGCACTCCCACACCTTTCTTTTTGTTTTTTCCCTTTGCCTGGAATAGCCTTCTTTCTTTTCTTTTCTCCTTTTCTTTCTTCTTTTTTCTTTACTTTTCTTTCTTTCTTTCTTTCTTTCTTTCTTTCTTTCTTTCGGTATCACATAAGATTGACTTAAATCATGTATCACTCTTTTGAGAAGCATTCACAGGCTCTGTCTCCTTCTTTCCTTGAATATATTTCTTACTCTCCTCTTTCCATTATAGCACTTAGTATATTGTATTATAGGTATGCATATGTCTGAAAATGCTTCTGGGTTATTAATTTCTTGATCAGGGACTGTCTATTATTATACATGAAAGTAAGTACAAGACAGGCCATTGGTTTTCAAATAGTTTTTATTTTAAAAAAGGAGGGATCATGCATGCCTATGCCCTTAGTTCTAGTAGATTATATATGTTGAATCTTATTGAACAGATTTTTAGCAAGTTACTTGATGATGAAAATTTTAAAATATTTTAATGTGTTAGCTTGTATTTATTACACCAGCCTTGTATTCCTAGTACAAATTTTATTTGATCTTTCTCAGTAACCTTTTAATGTGATGTGATCTTTTTGTAAGATTTCATTAAATATTTTTGTATCTTTATTAATGAAAATAGCCCTTGTTCACTTATCTGTTGCTGCATAACAAATCACTCCAAGCTTAATGATTTAAGAGAACAATCATTTTATTAGGCTTAATGATTCTGTGTTGGTCTAGAATTCAGATGGAACTAAATAGGGATGAAATTGTCTATGCTCCTATCCATGATGGCTGGGGGCCTTACCTGACACAGCTTTAATGCTTGGAGGTTACATAAACAGTTAGGGACTATAATCATCTGGAGGCTTCTTTACTGATGTTTGGTGTCTAGTCTGGAGTGACTTGAAGGCTGGGCACAGCTGGAACTGTTACCTGGAGTGTGCACAAATGGCTCTTGCATGTGGCTTGGGTTTCTTACATTATGGCTTCTGGGTTTGGATAGTGTCCTGAGCAGGAGCATCTAGTTCTCTGGTGCTCCAAGAACCCAATGCAGTTGAATGGTGTTCAGTGACTGACCTTTGGAAGCATCATTTTTACTGCCTTCAGTCCTAGATAAGGGAACATGGATAGACCCCACTTCTTACTGAAGAACAGTGTCCAACATTTTGGGCCATATTTTAAAGCTCCCACAGTCCTATAATATATTCTCTTGGCATTTATTAATTGTATCATATTTGGGAATAATCCTAAATGTGTTAAATTGATTTAGTTAACATACCCAAGCTGTTGTAAAGTACAGAAAAGGACTGAAATCTAGAAATTAGGTAAAATTGTAGAAGATTTCTTCTCATTCTCTGAGCCAGGTAGTTCTTAGATAATACTTCCTTTTTATTTTCTTTAATGTATATCAAATTGTACATATTTTATTCATTTAGTTTGTACCCAGGTTTTATATTTGTTGGTACAGAAGTTCAGTGTTTTCCCCTCTTGACATTTTGGTTCTTTTAGTAGCTCTTATTTTTCATCCTAATTTTTAAAGCTTGGTTTATTTAAAAATAATTTTCATCAGCTTTGTGGTTTCCTCTTCTGTCCCCCAAAGAATAAAGTGCTGCTTTATTTTTTTTAGCTCTGTCCTATTTACAGAAAACATAATGTTGAAACATACTTCACATACCATAAAATTCACCCTTTACAATGTAAATTCAGTGGTTTTTAGTATATTCACCGAGTTGTGTAGCCATCACCACAATCTAATTTTACAATAATTTAATTTTTTTTGTTTTTGAGAGAGCATGAGCGGGGGAGGGGCAGAAGGCGAGGTGGGCAGAGGATCGGAAGCGGGCTCTGTGGTGACTGCAGTGAGCCAAATGCATGGGTGGAACCCGTGAACCTCAGGATCATGACCTGCACTGAAGTCAGAGGCTCAACCACCTGAGTCACCCAGGTGCCCCTAATTTTAAGATATTTTTAAAGAAAGAAACCTTGTGCCTCTTAGCAATCATTTTCTCTTCATCTGCCCCACATCTAGGCAACCACTAATTGACTTTTTATAAATTTGCCTATTCAGAACATTTCATATATATGATCCATTCAATATTTGGTCCTTTTTGAGTTTTTTCTTTGACTTAACATAATGTTTTCAAGGCTCATCCATATTGTATGTATCATAACCTCATTCTTTTTTATTGCCAAATATTCCATTTTGTTTATCCATTCATCTTTTGATGCACATTTTGTTTGTTTCCACTTTTTGGCTGTTGTGAATAATGCTGTTACAAGTATTGTACAGGTTTTTGTTTGAACATACATCTTCATTTTGCTTGGGTAATACATACCTAGGAGTTGAGTTGCAGGATCATATAGTAACTTTTTAACCATTTGAAAAGCTGCCAAACTATTTTTCCAAAGTGGCAGCACCGTTATATGTTCTTCACCAGCAGTGTTTTAGCATTCAGTTTCTCACATCCTTGCCAATACTTGTCACTGTCTGTATTTTTTATTATAGCCATCCTAGTGGGTGTGAAGTGGTATCTTATACTTTTTATTTCCATTTCCTCGATGGCTAGTTACATTGAGCATCTTTTGATGAGCTAACGGCCATTTGTTTATCTTCTGTATAGAACTGTATTCAGAATCGTTGTCTATTTTTTAATGTTTATTTTTTAGGGGGGGGGGAGTGGAGGGTAGAGAGAGAGAGAGAGGGAGGGAGAGAGAGGGAGAGAAAGAGAAAATATGAATATCCCAAGCAGGCTCCACCTTGAACATGGAGCCTGATGTGGGGCTTGATCTTATGAATGTGAGATCATGACCTGAACCGAAAATCAAGAGTTGGATGCTTAACCCACTGAGCCATCCAGGTGCCCCTCTCTGTATTTTTAATTAGATTATTTGATGTTTAAAAATTATTAAATTGTAAGAAAAATTTTTTAATGTTTATTTTTGCGAGACACACACACACACACACACACACACACACACACACACACACAGAGTGTGAGTGGGGAAGGATCAGGGAAAGAGGGAGACAGAATCTGAAGTAGGCTCCAGGCTCTGGGCTGTCAGCACAGAGCCTGACGCGGGGGGCTCACAAACTGTGAGATCATGACCTGAGCCGGAATCGGCCGCTTAACCGACTGAGCCACTCAAGTGCCCTGTAAGAGTTCTTCAGATAGGCATACCTCAGAGATATTGTTGGTTTGGTTCTAAACCACCGCAGTAAAGCAAATAACACAATAAAGCAAGTCAGATGAATTTTTTGGTTTCCCAGTATGTATAAAAGTTATGTTTATATAGTACTGTGTTCTGTTAAGTGTGCAACAGCATTATGTCTAAACTGTATATACTTTTTTCAGAATTTTAAAAAATATTTAAATGTTTTTAGAGAGAGTGCGAGTCAGGAAGATGGGCAGAGGGAGATAGAATCTTAAGTAGTCTCTATGCTCAGTGTGGAATCTGACGCGGGCTTGGACTCACAACCCTGGGATCATGAACTGAGCTGAAATCAAGAGTCGGATGCTCAGTTGCCTGAGCCACCCAGGCACCCCTTAACTGTATATACCTTAATTAAAAAATACTTTATTGCTGAAAAATGGTAATCATTATCTGAGCTTCTGGTGAGTTGCCGTCTTTTCGCTGGTAGAGGATCTGGCTTCAGTGTTGATTGATGGCTGCTCATGGATTGAGATGGTGGTTGCTGAAGTTTTGGGTGACTGTGATAATTTCTTAGAATAAGACAACAATGAAATTTGCCACATCAATAGACTGTTCCTTTCACAAATGATTTATTTGTAGCATGCAATATGGTTTGATAGCATTTTACCCACAGTAGAACTTCCAAAAATGAAGTCAATCTTCTCAAAACCTGCTGCTGCTTTATCATTTAAGTTGATATAATATTCTAAATCCTTTGTTGTCATTTCAACAATCTTCACAGCATCTTCACCTGGAGTAGATTCCATCTCAAGAAACCACTTTCTTTGATCGTCTATAAGAAGCATTCCTCATTCGTTAGAAGTTTTGTCATAGGATTTCAGCAATTCAGTCATATCTTTAGGTTCCATTTCCTCCTCCTTCTCCTTTTTTTTTTTAATGTTTAAGGTGGGGGAAGGGGCAGAGAGAGAGAAAATATCCCAAGTAGGCTCCACACTGTCAGCACAGAGGCTGATGTGCGGCTAGATCTCACAAACTATGAGATCACAATCTGAGCTGAAATGAAGAGTCATGTTTAACTGACTGAGCCATCCAGGGGCCCCTTCAGGCTCCATTTCTAATTTTAGTTCTTTTGCTATTTCTACCACATCTGCAGTCAAATTTCTACCACATCTACTGGAAGTGTTGAAGCCCTCAAAGTCAGCTATGAGGGTTATAATCAACAACTTCTAAACTCCTGTTAATGTTGATATTTTGACTTCTTCCCATGGATCACAACTATTCTAAATGGCATATAGAATGATGAATCATTTACAGAAGGTATTCAATGGACTTTGCTCATATACATCAGAGGAATCACCAACTATGGCAGCTATAGCCTTGTGAAACGTATTTCTTAAATAAGAAGATTTGAAAGTTGAAATTTTCCTGATCCATGGGCTGCAGAATGGATTTTGTGTTAGTAGGCATGAAAATGACATGAATCTCCTATTGTACATTTCCATCAGAGCTCGTGGGTGACCAGGTGCTTTGTCAATAAGCAGTAATATTTTGAAAGGAATTTTTTTTCCTGAGCAGTAGGCCTCAAACGTGGGCTTCATATATTCAGTAAACCATGTTGACAACAGGCTTTGTTGTTCCATTTATAGAGCACAGACATAGTAGATTCAGCGTAATTCTTAAGGGCCCTAGGATTTTTGGAATGGTAAATGAACATTGCCTTCAACTTAAAGTCACCAGCTGCATTAGTCCCTGACAGGAGGGTCAGTCTGTCCTTTGAAGCTGTGAAGACCAGCATTGACTTCTCTCTAGCTAGCTATGAAAGTCTAAGATGGCGTCTACTTCCACGATAAGGCTATTTTGTTTACATTGGAAATTTATTGTTGAGTAGCTACCCTGGTTAATTATCTTAGCTAGTTTTCTGGATAATTTACTGCAGCTTCTACATCAGCGTTTACTGCCCCACCTTGCACTTTGATGTGAAGGAGACCCCTTCTTTCCTTAAACTTCATGAACCAACCTCTCCTAGCTTCAGTTTTCCTTCTGCATTTTCTTCACCTTTGCCAGCCTTTGTAAAATCGAAGAGAGTTGTGAGGCCTTACCCTGGATTAGGCTTTGGCTTAAGGCACTTTTGTGGCTGGTTTGATTCTCTTATCCAGACCTGTAAAACTTTCTCCATATCAGCAATAAGACCGTTTCATTTTGTTGTCATCATGTGTTCAGTGAACAACACATCATTTTCTGCAAGAATTTTTCCTTTTCATTTATAACTTGGCTATTTGGCTCAAGAGGCCTGCCTATCTTTTGGCCTATCTCTGCTTTTGGCATGCCTTCCTTGTTAAGCTAATCATTTTTAGCTTTTAATTTAAAGGGAGAGATGTGCAATTCTTTCTTTCACTTAAACACTTGGAGGTCATTGTAGGGTTATTAATTGGCCTACTTTTAATACTAGTATGTCTCAAGGACTACACAGGTCTGAGGAGAGAGAGAGGTGAGGAAATCAGAGCACACACAGCATTTATTAAGTTCGCAGTCTTATATAGGCACGGTTTATGGTGCCCCATAACAACTACAATACTGACATCAAAGATCTCAGATTCCCATAACAAATATAATAATGAAAAAGTTTAAAATATTGAGAGAATTACCAAAATGTGACAGAGACCCAAAGTGAGCATGTGCTGTTGGATAAATGGCTCCAATAGACTTGCTTGACACATGGTTGCCACAAACTTTTGGTTTGTAAAAACAATACAACCCGCAAACAAAACAACCCGCGGTATCTGTGATGTGCAATAAAACAATATATGCTTCTATATTTTGAGTACAAATGCCTTACCAGATACATGACTTGTAAATATTTTGCCCTATTCTGTGGATTGTCTTTTCTCATCCTTGATGGAGTCTTTTGAAATACAAAAGTTTTCAATGTGATTAAGTGAAATTCGTCGTTTGTCTCTCATGCTTTTAGTCTAATATCTAGGAATAGTTTGCTTAACACACAGTTAAAGATTTACTTAGTTGCTTTATCGTTTTAGCTGTTACATTTTGGTCTTTGATCATTTTGAGTTAAGGTTTGTGTATGGTTTGAGGTAGGGCCCAACTTCATTCTTCTGCATACAGATACCCAGTTTTGCCAGCACCGTTTGTTGAAAAGCTAGTCTTCATTGAATTGTCTTGGCATCAAAAAAATCAAGTAACCATCAATATTAAAAAAATAAATTTTTAGATTCTCATTTTTAGATTCTCATTTTTATTCCATTGATCGACACATTTATCCTTAAGCCAGTATTATCTTGATTACTGTAACTTTGTAGCAGGTTTTCAAAATCATGAAGTGTGAGTCCTCCAACTTTGTGTTTCTTTTTCAAGATTGTTGGACTATTCTAGGTCTCTTGAATTACCATAAGGATTTTAGGATCAGCTTTCCAGTTTCTACTAAGAAGACAGCTAGGCTTTAAAAAAAGTTTTTTTTTTAAATGTTGTTTACGTTTGAGAGAGAGAGTGCACAAGTGGGGGAGGGAGGGACACACACACACACACACACACACACACACACACACACACACAGAATCCTAAGCAGGCTCCAGGCTCTGAGCTGTCAGCACTGAGCCCAGTGCAGGGCTCGAACTCAGGAACTGAGATCATGACCTGAGATGAAGTCGGACGCTTAACCGACTGAGCCACCCAGGTGCCCCATTTAATAGGGATTGTGTTGAGTCTGTAGATCTATTTGGAAAGTATTGTCATCTAATAATATTAAGTCTTCAGATCCATGAACTGTCCTACTTTCTTATGATGTTTATTTAGCCATCAATTTGCTTTTGTTATTAACATGGGACTATTAGTGCTCAGTGTTGAAAAAAAATTGTTTGGTGGTGCATTTTCTCATTGACCCAGCCATTCACATCTTTTAAAAGATTTTTGTTTTCATTTCATTGAAATGTTAATATTCAAGTGTTATTTATATTTACTACCATATTTTAGTGAAAAAATATGGGTGTGATGTTTAATATTTTCTAGGATATCCTTAATGTCACTAAGAAGTAAGTAGTTACACTTTATAGAGTTGGGTGCCATAGTTTTCAGATTCCTTTTAATGCAGATTAAACAGAAGATCGATCATCATTTTGTGGCATCAGGTGATTATTTTATTGAATTCAGTTAAAATTTAATTTTAAATTTTAGTACACAAGTATGTATATATTAATTTGAGGTAATGGGATACCATTTAATGTTGAATCTTAATGACTTTAATCACACTTAATTCTTAGAACATTGCAAAAGCTAATTTTTTTTTTTTTGCATTAGCAGAAGTTAATTTTTCTTTAATTTCCTCCTCTGCTGTAGTCGGTGGTAGATGATTGGATAGAATCCTACAAGCATGACCGAGATATAGCACTTCTTGACCTCATCAACTTTTTTATTCAGTGTTCAGGCTGTAAAGGTAAGATACATTTATTTTGGAAGCAGAATGTTCTCAAATGATCTCTTTCTGTTCCACCTAAATATACATTAGTGCTTTACATGGAAAATAATGCCAAGATACTGAATTGTTTGCATTATAATCATACAAAATGTTAAAGGAAAAAAGAGCAAAGAACAAAATAAGAAAGAAACTCTGTTGAGACCATTGTATTCATATGTGAAAGTTAACTAAAAACTTGGCAATTTATAATTATTATATTACTTTTATTAGATATATTTCCCACTTTCAGCATCTGGTTTTAGGAACAAAGAAATGGATTAAGAAGGGAGGAGGAAGAGATACAGGTTCAAGTGGCAGGGAATTGTAAAGTGTAGGGAGTTTAAAAGTGCCATGAATAAGAGTAAGTAAGTAGGTAAGTAAGTAACTAAGTTAAGTAAGGTTTTGGTGAACTTTCTAGTTTTTTTTTTTTCTCTAAAAAGTAGAGAAGTTTCGGAGTGGGGTTTTGTTGAAAATTTTTTTTTCACTTTATTTAAAAAGATTTTGAAGTAGGAGTGAGGTAAATATAAAATACAGTAGTGTCTTCCCTGGGGCAAAAATACTTAGTGCAGACATTTGGCAGGGAGACAAAATTATGTAAGTTGGGGGGTGTCATACATCCTGATCTGGATCAGTAAATGATTCAGACAAAATCCTGGGCAGGTTAGGACCTATTTTGTTTCTCTGTAATACTTGGTCCGTCCTTGAAATTCTAGAAGGTGTCCAGGAAAATAAATGTTACAGAGTTTTCCAAGAGTATTACATTTTTTTAAAAATGAAAGTGGTACCAAAAACAGGCATTAGTAATAAGTCAGGAGGAGGGATGTTTGCTTAAAAATAGATCTGAGGGGCGCCTGGGTGGCGCAGTCGGTTAAGCGTCCGACTTCAGCCAAGTCCTACAATCTTACTTGATTCAGGTTCAGAACCCCAGCGTCAGGCTCCTGGGTGAATGGCTCCAGAGCCTGGAGCCCTCCTCATTCTGTGTCCCTCTCTCTCTCCTGCCCACTTCCGTTCATGCTCTGTCTCTCTCTGTCCCAAAAATGAATAGACGTTGGAAAAAAAAAATTAAAAAAAAAATAGATCTGAGAAGTTAAGATGTTAATGACAGATTTAAGTAAATCTGTAAAGAGAATCCAAAGAAGCACATTATTTATGTCTACTCCTTTAATTCTATAACAATACTTTAAAAGTACTATTATTGAAGTTGTAAAACAAGTCACGTTTTTTAAATGAGTTTTTACTTTTTTATTTTTATTTTTTAACTTTGAAAGTGACATTTTATTGAAAATAGAGTTTACATTCTTCTCACATTACTTTCTCTTCCAAGTAGCATAGGAGTAAAATCCTAATTCTCAAAATTACACTGCTCAGTGTAAAATTTAGATAATCTGTTTATATAAAGACTTTTTCAGTTACGTTTTTAAAATATTTATTTTAATTTCAGTGTTGTTAACATGTAGTATTCTGTTATTTTCAGGTGTACAGTATAGTAATTCAGCAGTTCCTATGAACAAGTAACCTTTTAAGAAATGATACATTTTAGGGGCGCCTGGGTGGCGCAGTCGGTTAAGCGTCCGACTTCAGCCAGGTCAAGATCTCACGGTCCGTGAGTTCGAGCCCCGCGTCGGGCTCTGGGCTGATGGCTCAGAGCCTGGAGCCTGTTTCCGATTCTGTGTCTCCCTCTTTCTCTGCCCCTCCCCCATTCATGCTCTGTCTCTCTGTGTCCCAAAAATAAAATAAACGTTGAAAAAAAAATTAAAAAAAAAAAAGAAATGATACATTTTATTTGAGGTTGATCACAGCATTCAGTGCAGCATGCATACTAGATATTATGTATGAGAGTCCAGATGGATAAAAAATTAACTTCTTGAGTCTTACCTGCATAATCTCATTAATGTGGTCAGTTTTGAGATTTTAAAAATTGTCTTTTTAGAGACTTTAAAACTTTAGAGTACAGAGTTGCCTAGTGTACTTCTCAGCTGTAGGTAGCCACAAATCAGTATTACAGAATTCTGCAGACTCTGCTCAAGGGGTGTGTAGTAATGACAGAGTGATGAATCAGAATAACACTTTTCATAAATGAGATATATCAGTATTATTTTTATTTTGTCTACGTCCAGTCTATTTTTCTGGAGTAGAAGAAATCAGGTACCTGTTTGTGGTGGTGTGTAATCAAGGGCCCTGTCCTTTTTCTTTAGATTCTTTGACAGTGGAAGGTTGATTGCAGAACAACTGAACAGGTGCCAGAAATAACTTGATGAGCTAAAATTCTGATTTTTATGTTTAGTCTTCCCTGTTATACGGTAGTTTGGTTAGTTTTAGTTTCCTTAGTTAGGCTCCTCATTGTAGTTTTAAAGCAAGGCCGTAGTCAGAGCATTTTCCTTTATCAGATTCATTCCTTTTCTGGCACTAGCGTGTTTTATGAATCAGGAGCCTGCCAGTTGAGCGTTTGGATACACTTGGTCATAAACTAGGTTGTCCAGATTTTTAAAAATTGAAGGTGTTGAAAACTTAAATTATCAGGTATGTTTAAACACTGCCATAATATTTATTTTAGAATCAAGAAAGTTCCACAAAGGAGAATTTATCATATAATCCAAAGTTAAGCTCATTAAATGCTTTCAAAACATACTCAGCATAATTTAAATTGAATTCTTTTATAAACGAGTTAGAAACATCGTTATGTATATGTATTGTACTTTAACCTTTTGCTTTTGGAGTCCTGATTGTCATCATGAACATCAGTTATTTTACTGTAGTTTTGCCTTTAGCAGCTATTGAGGTGTGGTGGGATATTTGGTGCTACACTGAAGGCTTTAGGCTGCTTTGTGGTGGCTGAATGTGGCCAGTGTTTCCTTCTTTCTTTCCTGGTCAGCTGTCACTTTTCAGTTTATCAGCTTTTAGCAGTCTGTCTTCATCTCTTCTACAATTTCAAGGCAGTGCCTTAGGCCTGGTGTCTTAATGGCACCTTCACACCTGCCCCAGGGGATACATGCACGGAGTTTGTGACAGCTATTTTTTTTCTGCTTATTTTTGGGTTTCTGGCTGTTATATGGTCAGTGAGATCAGAGAGGAGCTTTAGAAATGGGACCCTTGTCGAAATGTATGCAGCATGTTTGCTTTGAGATTTATTTATTATATGCATGTTTATTTTGTAGAAATTGTTTCAGGGATTGAGCAACATGTCTTTCTATAGCATTGCCAAGTTTATAGCACCTGGGTGTAAAGTGTAGGAAGGTTCTGAAGATGGTATATCCATGATTCTAGATTAAAATAAAAACCTTTGGAATGTTTTTGAGAATGTCCTTCTTTAGCAAGGAAAATGGTGCTTCCTTCCAGATTTGTTAATATTTTAAAACCATCATGTAGTTCTTTAATGTTGTGGTAAGTAAAGGCTCTTCACAGCACCACTAGAAATTGATCTTACCTGGGGGTGGCAGCTTGATGAAGATGAATCATTGCAGACAAAGTATTTAGCTTCTCTTCGCCTTAGCCTTTAGCTTCCTCATCTGTAAAGCTAGGATTACAGTGCCTGCCTCATAGGCTTGTTCCCAGAGCTGCATGTATGTCACGTGGCTGGTGTATAGGAGGCTCATTGGATGCTAGGTCCTCTTGTAGCCTTGCTGGCATTATTACGCTACTGGGAAGTGTTAAATTGCATGCCCATAGAGAAGGAGCTCAGGTATCAGTTGTTCTTTTCTGGTTTGGAGTTGGAAAGAGAGTATGGTATTTTATTGTTGTTTTTAAATTTATATATACACACACAAGTATGTGCATATACAAAATATATCATGGTTAATTGAAAGGAGTCTAATTGTATCTAATTTAAAAAAATGTTTAGAGAGAGAGTGTGCATGTGAGCTGGTGGGGGGGGGGACGGTAGGTTGAGGGGCGGGCAGAGACGGAGAGGTAGAGAATCCCAAGCAGGCTCCATGCTGTCAGTACAGAGCCTGATGCAGGGCTCAAACTCAAGAATGCTGAGATCATGACTTGAGCCGAAATCCAGAGTTGGAAGCTTAACTGACTGAGCCACCCATACGCCCCTATATCTAATTTTTTTTTTTTTTTTTT